GTAACTACATCTGTATATTGTTCCTCGCCCTCCTGACAAACAGTCCCACCACCGGGAACACACCAGTCTATATCGCTAGTATATTATTGGTTTCTTGGGGTAACAGCTGATCAATACACCATGTGGAATTAGGTCAATTTTCGGTTGATTGGCACTCAAATATCTAATCTACGATCGGGTAGACAAGTTATATATTTCCTTTATGTACCCATAGACACGCTTGAGAAGACGAGGTTGATAGATATCACTTTCGGCGTATGTTGTATCAATAATGCGTTTCTCGTGGACTACCGCTGCTCTAGAATAACAGCTACGGGGACGAGTCGACATTGATGAACAAGCAGATAGTTGTTGCCCGAGGGGAGGTAGGGAAAGCTGAATACCGTGCAATGTGTCTTAATTAGGACACCAGTCAGGTGTTAAGTGGGCCACACCAGTCGGCTACATTGATTTTTTGTTACATTTGTACAATAAAACCAAGTTGATTGCAGTCCGATAATGGGCGAGAGAAAACTGTCAACGAGGGTCGATTCCTATCACAAGTTACTGACCAGCGATGTAATTATCTGTAGTAAAACCAGTGATTACATGACGCTCTTTATTCTCTACAATGACCCTTGACCTTTGTCAAGGGTTTCCGTGGACGGCATCTGATCGACTTAGATCCGATAATTCACATGAAAGAATTTTCTTGATGATTTTGATCAGCGGTAAGTGTACTCTTTATTAAGTCCATGTACTGCTTTCAGTGATCAGTGTACTCCTTAATATGTCCATGTACTGCTTTCAGTGACAAGCGCACCTCTTATCAAGTTCATATACTGCTTTCAGTGACAAGTGTACTCCTTATTAAGTGCAGTAAATTGTTGATAAGGTGTGATGAAGTGAAACAGTTGATTTCAGAGATAAGCACAATCCTGAATGTACATGTACAAATTTTGCCTCCATAAAAACCTGATGTTTACAACGCTAGCTTTGTAAACGAAACCTGGAGGTGTCGCAGACAGAGTTCACCTCCCTGACTGAATTCCGACTTGATGTACATTCTCAATTTACAGTGTTAAATTAGTACAACTGTAAACGTGATTGTCTCCATGATTTATTTATTACAACTGGCTAGGTATACTTGGTGTACCAGGAGGAGACAATTCACACAGTACTTTAGTATGTGGGTATCTTGTACTAACAAGTATCGGAAAGCCATTCATTACTATGCAACACGGGTCCAGCGAGCCTGGTAATTTCATCAACAATCTGGTCTATCTTACTTAAACAAGTACATACAGCCTTAATAGTATAGTACATTCTAGGCCGTTCATAATCATTTGCTTGAAAGTTGACTCCAAAAATAAAGACTAATAGATTCTTTCACCCTTTTTACATTCTGATATCCCAGAGTTACTGCCCTTCTTTTCACTCTTATGATGGTACATGCATATCGATAAATTTTACAGCCGATGGGTGCTGAGAATAATACCCGAGGCTTGCCGAGTGTTTGCCAACTTAATGATCTCCACACGAAGGTTGAGATACCACGCTCTCATTCTAAAGAAGGTGAATACTTATTGTCCTCTTACTCTGCTTTCTCGGTCCTAGCGCAAGTCGAAACTTTGTGTGAAAACAAAAACACGCGGATGGCGTATGAATAGTGAAGAGGCCCGCGCCTAACGCTTTGTGACTAAAACAAACTCAAGTGTACTTGCCAATAAGATGTCAAATGAAATCATACTCTTCATACTTTATATATAAATATATTGAAATAAGAAGCTGCGGATTCAAATGAGGGCCAATCTTGATAACATAAATAGCGGAATATTTAAAAAAAAAATTTTAAAAAGTCACTGTTTTTATATGTTGTTCAAATTATTGTGTTTTTTCAAAAACATGATTTGATCTTCCAGTCCTCCGCCAAGAAAACGTGCGCAGCTTTCTTACACAAAGTACTTTTCATGAATCTGAGCCCAACATTCTACATTGATACCGCAATGGGTTTCTTACCGGCGGCTGGCACACGAGAGATTTGAAAACACAGCCTCAGATTAGTGAATGTTAAAATCAATGTACCAATGGAAGAACACCGCTGTAAATATAAAATATTTATTTGTTATTGTTTCCTTTTTGCGTAAAAATAGCACTTTGATTAATGAAACTTTTTAAGAAATAGAGAAAAAAAGATAAAAAGTTCCATTGATGTGTATGAACCCAATATGTGAAGTGCCCTTTGGTTCAGGTTTTGTTTCATCCTTAAATATCTATCCAAATGGGTTTCCAAAGTACTTGGTAAATCTTTTTTCTAATTTTGCATAGAAAATCCCGGATTTAATTTATAAGCTGTAGTTTCTAGCTGTCTTCGAAAAGGTGAGACTTGATTTGTAAGTCCTATTTTTGGTTGTCTTAGGAAATTTAAGTTCATTGCTTGCTCACAAAAAAAGGAAGAAGTTCGTTGCTTGCCCACAGAAAAGTAAGACTTGATTGATCTGTTCCGTTTTTGCGGTTTCGACAGAAAGCTAAGACTTTGTTGATAGGAACCTTTTTTCTGGTTGTCCACAGAAAGGTAAGACTTGGTTGATAAGTAAATTTTTCAGGTTGTCCACAGAAAGGTAAGACTTTGTTGACAAGTACCTTTTTCTGGTTGTCCATCGAAAGGTAAGATTTGGTTGATAAGTTATTTTTTCAGGTTGTCCACAGAAAGGTAAGACTTTGTTGATATGTAAATTTTTCAGGTTGTCCACAGAAAGGTAAGACTTTGTTGACAAGTAATTTTTCTGGTTGTCCATTGAAAGGTAATATTTGGTTGATAAGTAAATTTTTCAGGTTGTCCACCAAATGGTAAGACTTTGTCGTCAAGTACATTTTTCTAGTTGTCCACCGAAAGGTAAAATTACGGTAACAGATGCCGTTAATTAGTTGTCTGTAAAGTAGGGCCACATGATGAGTTACCACTTAAACTAGTTACCGAAGTTTATTAAAGACACTTAAACTTAACCTGGGAGTCTTTGAGAAAATCATCTGCTTGGTGTCTGTTTCCGAAATACCAAAGTTCGATTGGCTTATTCTTTAACGTCAGGGCGGAATTCCGAACGAGCGTTTGATGACTTTAAATACACCTTGCACAAGGCAAAAAGGTCTGCCTTCAAGGTCTGAGAAAACCGTAATACCCATACGACAAACATCCAGAAACAGCTAGGCATCGATCTTGTTGCCTTTATGACGAAGCTCGTGGGAAATCGATTGAAGTGGAAGATCGTGATAATTAGAGAAAATCGCCTTAGTATTAAAAGGTTAAAAGAACTCCATATAACCACTATCTTATTTCTTCTCTGTCGGAACGGATCAGTGTAATGTGGTGCTTTTTTATACATCGTTTGATCGATAGAAAACAGATCAAGTGTAGTATCTTTGTTTTCAATTATCGAATAATTTCACTGCTTCGGGAATATAAGAAAAAACAATTCTGACATTCATTGCCAAAGCCTCTAAATCAAGATCTCGTTCGTTTCAGTTTATTTCTATTAAAAACATTACATGGGTTCTAAGCGCAATATCTTTCTTCATATTAGCATAATGTCGACGCTAAGTCACAAAAGGGAATCGAATTCACTGGAATTGGTGACGATAATCGTGAATGTCGAACTACCTGTACACTGTTTGAATACCAAGAGACGACCCGCGAAAAATAATCGGTTCAACCCAGTTATGAATTCTATCATAACTTCAGATGTATTGTGCGGCATATACTACCGGGAACGGTGATAGGGGCACTATAGGTGCGGTTCGGAAGGCGATGACGGGGCGCTACAGGGGATGATGATGGGGGAGATACAGGATATTTTTATTGGGAAGCTACAGGGGATGGTGATGGGGGAGTTACAGGATATGGTGATGGGGAAGCTATAAGAAATGTTCATAAGGGATCTATAAGGGATGGTGATAGGGGCCGTTCCGAAGACGATGACGGGGCGCTGCAGGGGATGGGGACGGGGCGCTACAGGGCACGGTGTCAAAGGTTCTATTTAGGGTTACGATATGGGCTCTACAGAATGATGTGACAGAGGCACTAGAGGGGATGATAATGAGGAGCTATAGGGAGGGGTGATACAGTGAAGAGAGATTGTGATAGAGGAGCTACAGGGGATGATAGCTCGAGAACTGAAGGGGATGGTGAATGAGGCTCTACATGGGAAGATGATGGGAGAGCTGTAAAAGCACAACGGAGAATGGGTAAGATGACGCTATCAGATGATCTGGGCGATATTTTTGAAGCTGCCGTCATTTGTATCGCTAACTCTACATACATCTCTATACTCTGGCAGATTAGCGTGGGTGACGCACGTCACTGGAACCAAAGTTCGCCACATATGTTACGTATTTAGAATGTACAACTAAAACCAACAAATTCTGAACTCTGTCAAGAGAATACTGATTTTCTTTATATGCGGGTGACTGGATAATTACGTGCGCGTCGATTAAGGACTTGGAGCTGTACAAAGTTATACCAGTATCTGATTAAGACTACTAGCTACTCATGCCAAAATTAGTTGTTGACAAATACTGTATGTACATTCGCGAAGTGTTGGTGCAATTACCATGATGATGTAGTTTTTTTTTACATTAACACGTGTCACGCACTTGTAATATGTATTTGTATACATTAAGTATTGCGGTTAGATGGCGGGTTGGTAACACACTCGCCTTTCACCTAGACGTTTTTGGTTCGATTCTCCAAAAGATATGAGGTCATCAGCGTGCCAAGTGGGTTTTCTCTGGATACTCCAGTTTCTCTTCGCAGTAAGACCTCTCGCGCGCACCCATCGAGGCCAATAAAATTGATAAATAAAACTTGAAAAAAACCTTGTTTCAAGAATTGTAAAATTCTATTTGATATATCTAAGTAAAGCGTGACCGTACATTGCGGTTCCTGTTGACATATACAAACTTTCTATTAAGTAAAATGTTGAAAGTAACTATTCAAAACATAAACGTTTTCTCCATATTTACAGGTTGGTTCCGTTTAATTGATGACCTTGAAATGCCCATGAAGACTGTGGCCAGTGTCGCTAGAGTTATGCCAGTCCGTATGCTGTCAGCCAAATTTGTACCCGGCTTTGTGCTGAAGGAACCTCCATGTGAAAGTGAACCTGAAGGACTATACCAACGGGTAGAGGTTCAACCAGGAATTCTCCGGGTCATCAACATCCATGAGGATTTTATACGTTACAACAACTACCGGAAGTTGACACGCCGGAAGTTACTACGTTGTTTGCGTTGCTTTACTGATGACAATACCGAGGTTTTACTTCCGTTTGACGCTGAGGGATTATTCTACATGATAGAAGCGAGAAAGACAACATCAAAACACATCAATGTTGATGATATTGCGTATGTGTACAGTATCAATGATCTACTTTCGGCAGGACTGGCTAAAGGAGTGTTTATCAAACTCCTTCACGGTCGGCCGCCCACAAAACCATGCAGTTTCACATCTGTCCTACAGACTCATGACGTCATAAAAGACCACACAATTGTAGCATGTACAATGGACGAGAAGAAAAGTTTACTCGAACTTCCGGTTGCGAACGTACCTCTCTTCGTAAAGGCTTTGAACACGACCGATTTGTGCATGAATGGCTTATACGCCGAAACCTTGTCGCACCTCCAGAAAACGGCAGAAAATTACATGACTGAAATGAAGGTTAGATATCACTATAGCGTTGAAACGTCGTCAGAAACGGAGAGAGGCAAGAGGAAAGATTGAGGGTGTAATGATAAAATCCATTTAGCGTAATTACACCGATGTGAACACATTATGTAACACGTGATCGATAAGACGGAATACCGCTTGTTAACTTCGCCTGGCATTCTGTACCACAAGTAATTGCCAAGTGTCTGCAAACTCAACGACTTTCTGGCGATTTCCAATGAAGATAAAACTTTTATTCAACGAATGTTCGGTCGCAATGTAGTCATGGTTAGCTGTGTTCAATGTATATTGTTTTTGGTACGTATGTAAATAAAAATAAATTGACCAATGCCATTAAGTGCACACTATGTTTTACTTCCTATGGACATTTTAACCACAGCTTGGCCATACGAAGATTTATCTGATTTCAATAAACATCTCGAGAGTATAAAACATATGTAGCATTTAAGAAATTTCTATTTCCAAGGAAACAGAAACTTTCATTTCATCGATTACACCATTTCTGGGTTCTATACCACAAATCAGTTAATAGAAATTTCGCGTACTTCCATTTAAGATTGTACTAAAGATATCGGATAGTCATTAAGAGTGCGTTGCCTTATCCATACACTAAGTAACAATTAAAGGCACCGTACCATTAACACCGAAAACACGAAAGGCAAATGCATTACAGTAAAACAAGGATATGTTAGAAAAAAAAACAACAACACAACACATATTGAGTTAGTCAGGACCGCCAGCGGCCGTGATGGGACGAAAGGATTAGTGCGATTTCTGTATATTTCCTGAAGGGCGATATCAAAAAGTACAAATTGCTTTATCGATATCCCTTAAGCATTACTACAAATGTGCATTGTGTGGTATAATATCAGTGTTAAATCTCAATATCTTGGGGCCAGATTTAAAAGCTGGGAAATCAAATTTCATTTGAATCTTTATCCTCCTGTTTTACTTTCAATATAGTCCAGTCTTCTGTCCATTTTAAATAAAACGCCACTAGCACATGTATCATGATGGATCGTAGGAAGTTCTGAGATCCCGTACATGGTCTTCGTGTTTTAATGTTATATAACCGTTTAGGTTGTGTACTACGTGATACAAAGACTAAATTTGTCATTAATGTTCAGCACGTACCAGAAAGATAAAGCTTTTAGAAGGTTTCACTACTTGATAATGTACGCCCGTATCTTAAAAGACCACTGCAGCAGAATCTCATTACTCAAACCTTCCCCGAGGGAACGTGGTACGTCACCAAACTCTCTCGTATCTTCCCTCATCTCCAACATTTAAGTGTTATGTTCTGTGAGTCTAACAGATTTGGTTTTAATAGATATAACCCCCTTAAAAGCACAAAACAGGAACCATATACACTACCCAAAAATGTGTGGAGAATTATAGTCCCGACGATGATGTAAAGCCTTATCAGGTCCCCTTTATTGTCCCCAAATGATGTAAAGCCTTACCCGGTCCCCTTTATAGTCCCCAAATGATGTAAAGCCTTATCAGGTCCCCTTTATAGTCCCCAAATGATGTAAAGCCTTATCAGGTCCCCTTTATTGTCCCACAAATGATGTAAAACCTTACCCGGTCCCCTTTATAGTCCCCAAATGATGTAAAGCCTTATCAGGTCCCCTTTATAGTCCCCAAATGATGTAAAGCCTTATCAGGTCCCCTTTATTGCCCCAAATGATGTAAAACCTTACCAAGTCCCCTTTAGAGTCCCCAAATGATGTAAAACCTTACCCGGTCCCCTTTATAATCCCTAAAATGATGTAAAACATATACAATCCCCCACATGATGTATAATTACATTCATCAGATATTTTCTGCCTTATATATCCCCACAAAACGATATTTTAACTCAGAGAATGACGTATAATCCTCTAAAAATGATAATAAAACTTAAAAACAAAGTCAATATTGACCTGGTACAAGAACCCGAAATAAATTTCAAATTCGAGCTACCTAGGAAAAAATATCAACAAGTACACGGAGATGTTTTACAAGGATGGTACGTTAAGGTGTTCCGGAAGGGTAAGACTCGTCTGCTTCATCGACGACACCTGCCATGTAAATATTGTAATCCAAGTAATGTCGCATTCCCTTAGGAGAACAGATTTAGGAACAAGAAAACCATCAGACAAAATAACGAGCATCAAACACGTCCAGCGTCACATCGCACAAAGAAACAGAAAGTTTCTCGATGATACCATTTTAACGACCACAACACTTCCTCATAATCTTCGTCATTTCGCAGTGTAAGTTTAGTCCTAAAACCGCTGTAAAACAAGTCACCAGCGTAGTTCTCTTATTAATGTTTCTATACCAAGTCGGATGTCATATATTCCCTTAGTTAATTATAACCATGGCTCGTTGAAAAAAATAACCTCAGCATATTCAGATATTTTTATTTCAAAAATCAACAAAGAAAATATCACCATGACAACAAAAAATAAAATTCAATAAAAATAGGGCATTATTAAGGGTCGCTTCACTTCGATTTAGTTCTTGGGAATAGTGTCTGGAATTCCGGCTTTTCTGAAGGCAGCTGTTTCTGTGAAAGGCGGTCAAAAGCAGCTTTCCTTTCTACTCTCCAACCAACCGAAGACCCTATCACAAGAATAATCCGGGATGATAGCTGAGGACTAATAAGATGCTTAATACTGCTCATACGGCTTGCAGAACGAGTGTAACAGATTGCTCATGTTGAGTCAACATAATGCAGGTCAGAAGGATTTGCTCTCGTTTCAAATGAGACATGCACGGGAAAAAAACTCCGGGCATATATGGCACAGTAGAGATCGATATGGAAACCAGTTTTTTTTTTTTAATTTAAAACAATGAACAGGTGCATCAACAATACTTATCAATTGCACGTGAAATGACAACACTATTGATTTTATATTTCAGTACTTAAAATTACTTGTGCCAGGTAAAAGAATTTGTTATGGATGTCCTTTAGCCCAGCAATCGAACTATTTAACGTATGATTCAAGATTGTCAGACACTCAAAATCTGATAACTTGGGCCCAAATTTGGCTGTGACGTGTTTGATATGTAATGGCGTGGCTGTGATAATGTACAGCGTATCATGGGGCGATCTTTCTGGGGTGGTCAAGTCGAAAACCTATTGTGATGTCATTATATGGCCAATGGCGTGACGTCATATATTAAATTTGCCACCCAGTTTGATGTTATCCTCTGCATTTTTACTTTTAAATTAAATTTGACTGTTCTGAGATATGTGATAAAGAATAAATTAAATTTGTTTTCGTTTCATATGAGATTTTAAGAATCTGGTCTCGAAGTTCTCCATGATCGCAAAAACAAATAACACTTCCGGTATTTACACTGTATCCTCCATCTCTGTTTGCTTCGGCTTCGAAATGCCGTCTGGTATCATATCAAAATTATATCCATGTCAGAAATAGATTTAAATCTGACAATGCAAGTTAAAATTTTCATTTTGAGTTTAAAAAAAAAGGTTTCCGTTTCTTAAATGCTTCAGAGAGGTCCCCTATGATAAAAATATCTTCCGGTCAGTGTATTTCAGGAAGTGGAAGACATTTTAGTCTATGCCTTGCTCGGAAATGAGTATGGGTATCCCAGGGTATAACAGACTTGTAACCTGTCAAACCGGTTTTCATTTCAACATTGACCGCCCGAAGTGAAAATGTTATATAATTACATGTAAGCGTGCTCCAAAAATAGTGAACTTACCTAAGGGTTTTGAAGTTGCGTGAAGATGATCAGTTCTTCTCGGCTTTCCAAAAATATATTTAAAAAGTTACAATAAAACTGAAAACAGAGAAAACTCACTGCAGTCCATCGCATATATCCCGAAACACGTGCATGTGCACCACAGTCTGGTACGACCAATTTTACTATGTCACTAAAGCGCTTGAAAAATAACGTATACAATATGACTACTGTTATTTTTTCTCAATCTTGGTTGTGTAAATGCTTGACTAATAAAGCCCGTGCAAAGCGGTGACCTGTTGTAGATTGTCTAAAATTCCACTAGTGAACTCTTTTTTTTCTGAAGAAAATAATTCTAAATAGTAAAGCTTATTACACAGGAATTTATGCCAGTAATCTAGAAAAACAAGGTAGAGTTGGCCTAAGTTATTCGTTTGTTAATATGTTGTGTATTTTTTCCTCCAGAACGCACGGCTCAAGGTGTGTAAATCGTAACGTATATAAATGTTTATTTCTGTTATTTGGCTAATATTGTATCTGGTTGTCATAGATACGTGTTCAATGTTAATTTCCAGGTTATTCAGTCACTTGGAAGAAAAAAAAATGGAATCGAGTAAATGATCTTAAGCGATGTACCTAGCAGTCGCGTTATGTCGATATTGAAATATATTGAAAACGCAGGCCTTTTGTGCCCTCGGATACCCCGTATACGTTTCCAAGCAACGTTTAGACTCAAATGTCTGCCACTTCCTTAGATACATTGACCGGAAGTTATCGGTAACATAGAGGGAAGGTCTCGAAAGCGTTCTACTTTTATTTCTATCTATCTTAACACGTTATGTTTTTAACTTGCAGTGTCAGCTTTAAATGAATAGTATACAATTAAATATGGTGACTAGTGAGATAAGTCATGCGTCTCTTATTTTTCAGCAAAATACTGAGAAAAACTCTACAAAGAATCTGGAAAGACAGCATATTTACTACCAATCGGCGCTGACTAACATATCGAAAGTTTTTAAAATAGGACAGTTTCCAGCGAGTAAATCTTGCAAACGAAATGAAATGTTTATCTGATCGTTGTACCGTAAACGTATTTCGTAATAAATAAAGTTTTACACAATTTGTTTGTTTTTTAAATGCAGTGATCTATTTATAAACCAAACATATGGTAATGTTAATGATTTGTAAATCGTTTTCCAAACAAAACTGAAGCTGTTTCTCAAACTTGTACCCGTTGTATTGTTAGATACACAGAAACCAAAAAAACACAAATCAGGTTGGCGTGATGTATCGTGTAACAGTCAGAAATATGGCTTTGGTGTGGGTTCATTGGTGCCGGTTTTACATCCTCATAG